CACCTCAAATTAAAGTTCACTGCCCATAAAAATGTAGCAACATACAATACTAGTGGCAGCAATGACCCATTAATCTAACATCAAAAGACAAGGACATAAAAACTTTCTAAAATCTAAACATATTTCGTGTTCAATTCCTGCTTTAGCATCACATTAGCGTACCATAAACAAACTCCAAATTCACAACCATTTTATTCTAATGCACGCCTAACCTCCCAAAAATGTTTAAAAGAAAAGCCCTTTGTGCTTAACCTCAACATCTATCTTTGGGACCCACGCGAGGCTCCCCTAGTTTCCTACACTTGTTAATTCTTCTCTACCTATTTTCTTGGTCATCTTTCTTTCTTTCTGCCGCTTCAGTCTTGCCCTCTCTCTTCTTAGTCTTCCCTATTTTATGGTTTCTTTTCTTCACCCCAACATTGAAAAATATTTCTTCCCTTCTCACTTTCACCACATAACAATACTTCACTATCCAAACTCAGTTATTACACCATTTTCCCTCCCTTCTCTTTCAACCCTGTCAGAGTTCTGACAGTGTCACCATTTAGTAATTAATTTCTCTTCTCTTCAAGCATCCTTCCTTCCTCATTTTCTTGACTTTTTCCCCCTCTTCAGATTCATCAGAGCCTCTAGCTATCTTCTTCTGTCAGTTCTTCTCCACCACTCTCATTTTCTTCCCATTGCAGCTTTTCAAAAGCTCCATATCTATATCATATATTGAAGAAGAAGAAGAAGAAGAAAGAAGTAGTCTGTTTCTCCAACTTGATCACCCCTCTTCAGTAAGGTGCTTTCTCATTCTTATTCTTTTTCCTTGTAACATTTCTTTCTTGTTCTTCATCTTTTGCATAAGATTTTATGACCAGCCGACTAAAATAGTCTTCTTTTTATTAACTTAAGGAATGCAAAACCCATTTTTTCTTTTTTTTTTTTCCCCTTTCTAAAAATGCAGGACAAGGTAATTATTTATTTCTTCTTTTTAGCTTCAAGCTCGATTTTTCTTTGTCAATCTATCTTCTTCCCCCGTGTACTACGGTTAGAGTGAAGAGATGAAGAAATTTCTAAGTGGATGACGTACTATAGGGTCCTTTTCGCTTTCTTTTTTGACTCAAAAGCTGTTTGATTACGTCATTAAAGTCCTTTTTAAATTTTCTTGGGGTTTTATGTTCTGTTAGCATTTTCTTTTAGATGCTATTATTTGAATCAACTCAAAAAAAGAATTTGCCAAAATTAAATATTTTTAATGAATATTTGGAGTTTGGAAGCAAAATTTTTCACCTTTAGAAGTTGAAAAATGGGAAATGTTTTCAAGTTTTCTGTTCTGTTATTTTTTTCGGTGCTGCTAAAATCAACAGAACTAAATTTGACGAAAAGTAAAATTTTTATCAATAGTTGGATTTTTAAGAGCATTTTTGTCACTTTAAAAAGAAAGTAGACTTTTATGTATAATAAATTTTCTCGAAAGCATTTTACTACTTTTCACACTTGACAAAACCCAAGACAGTGCTGTATCAGGTTCCAACAAAAACTAATTTTAATAAATGAATATAGATTAAAAAAATATTTTAGATTAATTAATTTTAATATTTTAAAGGTTTTACTTTTTAAATTATTTTGTTTAAGAGCTTAAGCTATCGAGTTCCGAGTCAACTCGGAGGCGCCGAAGTGGGAAATGTAACCGACTAAGTGGAAAGTGGGGACCAGCGTACACTTTCTTTATTTTCCCAATTTAAATTTACGGATCCTTTGCCTTTTTTTTTTTTTTTTTCTTGGGTCTTATTTAGTCCTCTTTTGTCTTAAACCATGTAGGGTCATTTAGCTTTTTCCTCTTTTATAGCATCATTTTCTTTAATTTTGTAAATCTATCTTTTTTTTTTAATTTTGAAAACCCTTTTTTCTTTATTGAGTTTTGTAACCACTTTTTGTAAATCTGTCTTTTTTGACCTTTTGCATTGTCAACTAAAAAAGGATCCAATTCTGTTAATATAGCCATAAAAAGTTGTTCTTCCTCTCTCTTTTACTCCTCTTTTTTTAACCCTAAAAAAGTACATTTCACATTTTACACCCCTCAATTTTAAATCAATTGAAGAAGATGATTGCCACGTGTGTGTATTAAGTGTACTCTAGCTTTAATGTTTGGTTCGAGATTCAATCATTTAACACTTGGTGGTGTTTAAACACGCCTATGCATCTAATATGGGGATGGTCCTTAATTGACCCTACAAAAGTTTTAAACAATTGCAACAACTTCTTTTTTTGTTTCATTTTTTCAGCTAATAGAGATTATATATTTATGCTTGGATTCTAGCCATTATTTCAATTTCTTTTTTTTTTCTTAAAAAAATAATAAGTTGGTGCACATATGGTAAATTAGATGCTTCAAAATTATTGACGTGTGATAGATTTCGAATATTCTCAATTTGTTGCACAAATTATTTGACTTTAGAGTACCACCCACATGTGCATGTTCTATAAAAAATTTTGTCCCAAAAGAGGATAAAAAGTAGTAGAAAACCAAGAAGCTTTTGTCTTGTGCTAGTTATGATTAGCCACTTTTTAGATTCGATTTAATCTATACTTTTATCTACACATAAAAAATAAAACATGAAGATGTTCTATTTCATGTGAAAAACTATTTTCTTTTCAAATACTAAAAATAAAACTTAGCAAAATATGTGAAATAGGCCCTTCATCTTATATGAAAAAAAATAAATTGGAACTTTGGCCATTTTTCCTTTGTCAAAGTAATTTGGACTTTATTGTGTGTGATGCTTCTTTTGGATGTTTCTCTATAACATCTTTACTAAACTATTCTAGCCATTCGATTCATCCTGTAGGATTCCCTTGCCGAGATCCAACGGTGGTGATACGAAGTTATGCTGATCATGAAGAGGAAACTTGCGTGCTGGTCTAGAGGCAGGGAAGCCTGTAGTATGGACTTTGATGAAGAGAGTAAGCAATATAAATATGGCCCACTTTTCTCTTATACGTACTTTTTTTTTGCCATTTTTTTGGCCTTTAAAGTTGACTGTTCAAAATCTCTCCGTAATTAATGCTCCTTGTCCTTGTGATTTATAACGCAACGTTATGGGTCATAGATCACAAAGTATTAATTATAGGCTTGATTTTCGTGGGCAACATACCTACCATGTGGACTAGGACTACCATATTAAATAAGAATTGTGCTGTTACGACTTAGAATTTTGAAGCCCCAAAAGCAGAAACAAGGAAAGAGTAAATCATAGCCATGATTGCTATTTTAAATTTTCTTTTTATAATGAGAAAGTTTAGATGGATTCAATTCTCAAATATAATCATAGGTCGGGACATATCTCTCCGCACAATGGTATTTTTGAAATGAGCATCTATTAAAGTTGGTTGGTACATTTAATGTGCATCTAACTTCTAGTATAAGTATGTACTTTGACATTTGTCGGTGATTTTTTTTTTTTCGATACGATAGAATTACTATAATCTAAACTAGCCTATTCTAGGGGGAGGGAGAGAGGACTCGATGTGAGTAGAAACTTTATCGAAACTGATCAATGAAGACCGTCACATATTGTGATAAATTTTATGGGAGGCAAGGTTCGAACCCTTGACTATCAAGTCTTTTTTTTGACATTTGTCGTGTCTTTGTTACCATTTGGATGGTTATTTACTAACCATCTAGATGGGAACAAGGAATGAGTAAATCATAGCCATGAGTTGGTATTTTGAAAATGTTTTTTTAATAATAAAAAAAGTATAATTGGATTCGGTTCCCAAGTATCACCACGGACAGGGCAATGCCGGGGAACATTGGTATTTTTCAAATTAATGTGTAGTAAAGTTGGTTAGCACATTTAACACATCTAACTTCTAATACAGGTTTGACGTTTATCGTCTCTTTTATACCATTTAGATGGTTATTTATATTTAGTTTTACTTTTTCAAAAAAGTAATACTTAGATTCCATATGCTTATTGGGTAACACTAGATCGGTTCGTCTAATAATGGCTGCAAATATCAGAAGCATTTAATTGGTCGCCTAGGTTCAATCGTTGGGTTCATTTCTACCACACGAGAAGTCTTTGGAACATATGCGTCTTTGCCCTATTAGGGTCCTGATTAAGTGATTAACATTTATGTCACACTTCAACTAGTAATTAGTAATTGCAATGTCCTTCTCAGTTCTTGATCCCAATTCACTAACATAATATCCATTTTACTGGGTGGGAAAAGAGACGAGGAGTATTGTTTTGTCTTTTGACGGCGCTCACAACTCTAGATTATGATACTGAATTTTTCAGTGCTAACTAATGCCTGTACTATTGGTAGAAAGCAATAAAACTCATTTTATTTTGAAGAGAATGATAATTAATGCACTATGATGTAATTTCCTACACAAGGCGATGATTTTCTTCTCCTGTTGTGACAATTTCTTTTCCAATTTAATTAGCCAAAGATAAGGAAATCAGGATATAATCTTGCAGTATCAATTAATCCAGCGGAGAAAAATATTATCTCCACGGTAAGAATTGTAATTAGAAAAAAAAAGAGTAAATGGCTTCATATAATTCAATATTTCCCACATGCGGGCTTATGATTTCATTGCTTATGGCATACTGGGGATGGAAGATATGGATCTTTCTTTTCATAGTGCATGAGTTGCAGATCAATAATGGAGTGATTGTGATTTATGAATACTACATTTAGTGACTTAGGCCCACAGGCATTTACATGTTTGCATTTAATACATGATGGAAATAGTGACCTTATTGCTAGTGCTATTGTGATTGAGAATGCTCCACCTTCAATTCATGTGACTTTGAGGAGAATGTGGGTCATAGAAGTCAATGTCTAGATAACATTTCCCCAAGAAAAGTTTCTCATTTTCTGTTTGTACAGCTTCTTTTGGGGGGATTCTCTTTCTTGTCCATCCATTTCAAATCTTTTGGGATTTTTCTAGATTTTCTCTCTTTTTTTTTTTTTAAAAAAATTATATTATTATTATTGTATTTGTGATCTTCTGTCTTGAAGTTTTACATTCGTGAACCACCATGAGATGTTTGCTGCATTTAGGAGGATATGCTCCTACTAATTGAAAACCTGAAGATCCAACTATAAGTGTTTGATCAATGCTTGTCTGGAACTGGATTATGTAATGTTTGAAAGATTCAAAAAACAAAATGACAGTTAAGTGCTATGTTACTCGGGCTCAGCTGCCAAGTCTTGCCGACATGCCTACTCTGGTGCAAAATGAAGAGTCAGACACCGGTGTGGCAAGGAAAAGTGAAGAGTTTGAGTAACATAGGTTAAATGTGAATATATATTGGTGGGATTCTTGGATTTGAAGTTATAGTTCTGAATATTGAGCAAGAGTGGAGCTCAAACTATAGAAAGAAGTAGAAGCAAGCAGGTAGGGATGCACTGTTTTAGGCAATGGGCTAGTCCAGTTTAGTTTTGTCCATATCTACCCGGTTGGTGTAATTCTTACAAGAGATTTGGTGTGTTCTTCACTAAGCTGATATACACAGAAAATCCAGTATTAGATTAAAGTCGTACAAGTTTACACTGACCTTGTAAAAATTTACGCCAGCCGGACTAAACCAGACAGAACTCAAGTCAACCTGCCTCCGTCTTGCATTGTTACATAGAAAGAACAAGGAATCGCTGTTTGGAACAATAAGGCATCAAGATTGAATTTACCTAAACTTGAAATGACAGTCAGCAGAGCTAGGCTAAAAGTAACTTTGGGTGGTAGATTTACTTCAAAACACTTGATAAGAGAAATGGTGGCAAATTTAGCGAAACCTCGACTCAAATAGCTTTCTCTTTATTCCTTTTGACTGTTAAAATATGAAGTAATGTTAAACCATTCTTGTATTCTTTCTTCCTCTGTTCTTCCCTCATTTTCTCATTTTCTTCTTTGAAACAGTTGTAATGTCTGGAATGCAATATCACGAGACACAAATTGTTTGCAGTATTTCTATTTGAGGATACTTTGGCTGTTGAACTAATGCAATGAACTCTATGAATTCCTTGTCTCTTAGATGCCAATGATCAATCAACAATACAAACTCCTTGCCTTGAACAATTTTACTGAGGTCTAAGCATATCATTGATGTCCATCGGAGACAGGTCCAGTAGTGTTTCACTAAGCACGTTAACCTGTCTTTGTTCTTTCTTTTGCTTTGCCAGTTGGCTCATCATAAGGAAATGATTGTATCTAGTGCATGAGATGAACAATTTTGTCCATGTGGAGGCATTTGAGGTGGATGGCCATCCAATAATCCATCTGACACTGGTTGCTCAGTTCAATACGAAAATTTTCCTTTTTGTATCGCTCTATTTTCTCCTAGAGGTGCCCCTGAGGTAACAGAAAATGAAGAAACACTTCAACCTAGTAAATTTTGAGACTTATTGCCTTTTTTATCTGTAGTATGAATCACACATAAACATTTTTCATGATAAGATTTGTGGATTTACAAACCCCTCATGCAGCATAAAGCATCACAACACGTGACATAGATGTTATATTATTTATTATGGATCTCCAATGGTAATATCCACCCAGCGATTGCACCATTTTGACGACTGTAATTTATTTGACAACTATCATATTTTGACCATTTTGGAATTCTGCTGGCTGCAAATATCAGCTGTGGCAGCTTCAGTATTTGAAATCAGCAAATGCATTAGTAGTTAACATTGTTAGTGCCGGAATTGGCAACATTCTCTTGCACGAATTTGTAAGTATTTCATTAAAGAAATCTCTAAAATTGCTTTGAAATTTCAGGAATTATAACATACAACGGCCTTGAGAGCTGCATTCTGAGCAGTCAATCGTATAACAATGCAACCAGACAAGATGGTTGTGCAACTGATTCAGGTGATGAAGACGCCTCCAGCTGCTGTTCCAATCATGTTGCTACAGGACCGTTCTCTTCTCACCGTACAATGATGAGGATGGATGATTGTGGACCAGATGAATCGGAGTTCTCAGGAAGTCCTCAACATTTCTACCAGCGAGAAGAACCAGGTTACATAACTAATTCGACAGACCTGGAGACAATGAAAGAAAAGTTTGCTAAGTTGCTGTTGGGAGAAGATGTTACAGGAGGAAATAAAGGGGTTTCCAGCGCATTGGCCTTGTCCAATTCCATTACAAATCTAGCAGGTATTTTAGCCTCAGATATTCCTTTATAATCCGTTAATTGCTTTACTTTATGACATTTAGATCTCAAGTGTCAATGAATATTTTCAGTTTCCAATCATTTGCAAGGCAAGCAGATTCTTTTTATCTGAATTCTGAACATATACGAAACTCATATTACATCTAATGTTGCGATGTGTGACAAGTATAAACATGATGAGATTAGCAGCTTATAATAATATTTCTTAGTGTCCCATTAACAAGGAATAGATACAGCTGGGAAACAATTTCAGATCATCTTATTAGGGGAGCAATATCCAAATCTGACATGACCTTAGTTAATTGGGAAAGAACTTCCATCTAGTCCTAGAAATATTTTTTTCTCCAAAAGCTGCTGTGATATCTATTATTCAAGTTTTCACATCTCCAAATGCTTTGACTGTTGTGCAGTATCTGTTTTTGGTGAGCTGTGGAAATTAGAGCCACTGCCAGAAGAAAGGAAGCGCAAATGGCGGAAAGAGATGAATTGGTTACTTTCTCCCACCAACTACATGGTTGAGTTGGTCCCTGCGAAAAAAAGTGGCACTAACGGCCAAATAATGGAGGTAATTTATTAATCCAGAGAATAGCATAATGTTGTGATGCAAAACTATCCAGACACTAATTTTTTTTCTTGTTTGTTAATGGTAATGGGACAGATAATGACTGCAAAAGCTCGTTCAGATATCCACATGAATCTTCCAGCACTTGAGAAATTGGACTCCATGCTTATTGTAAGCTGTCTCTTGAATCCCATTTTTAAAAAGTTGTTTTTCTGCTCATTTAATATCTAAATTGACTCGGTGAACGTGGTCATCTGACAGGAAATACTGGATTCCATGGTTGATACTGAGTTCTGGTATGTGGAAGTGGGCAGCAGAGCAGAAGGAAGAAGCAGGAGTGCAGGTGAGAGCAAAAGGTGGTGGCTTCCTTCACCTCGTGTACCTGCAACTGGTCTCTCCGATGCTGAAAGGAAGAAACTGCTAAATCAGGCTAAACGAGTCCATCAAGTGTTGAAGGCTGCCAAATCTACAAATGAAAGTGTTTTGCTTGAAATGCCTGTTCCAGATATCGTTAAGGATGCACTCAACAAGGTTAGCAAAATGAGCTTGTTCATCTGGTCGTTTTGGGAAATTTTCTATAGCAGGCTGAAACATAGAATCTAGTATCTGACAACCTGCTGATTGAAAATGAAAACCAGTTCCACAGAGGAAAAGTAGATAAAATGATAGGGAAGAGAAGTCCATTTGGACCAGAAAGTGCATGACAACTTGCATGAAGATACTAATATATTTAATTTCTCATTTTCAAATAAGCTATTGATCATATTAGTAGACAATGCAGTCTGGAAAAGGTCTTGGAGAGGAACTGTACAAAGTCTTGGCTGCAGAAATTATTCCTGCTGGGGTCATGATCAATTCCCTATACTTGGAATCTGATCACAGTGCCCTTCAAGCTATTAACAAGTTGGAAGCAGCCATGTTTGCTTGGAAGGAGATAATCAAGGGACAATCCAGTGAAGAATCTCCAGCTAGAAGCTCCTGGTCTTTTGGAAAAGATCCAGTATCTGAAATGGATAAGGTGGAGTTTTTGCTGAACAGGGCTGAACTCCTCCGACAGCAGCTGAAGGCCAGATACCCAAATCTTCCTCAGACATTCCTTGATGCCATTAAGGTCCAATATGGAACGGTAAGTACTAAGCAACATTGGCCTAATGAGGATCTCTAAATGGAAAGATTGCTATGTGAAGCTTTGATAACTGTAAGTTTCAACAAGAGAAGCTTCAATGCTTGATAATCCATACATAGGTTTTCACAGGCATATCATTGTATCCTTAAAGTACCAGGAATAAACAAGATTCTGCCTGGATCAGAAAAATGAATGCAGTTCTTTTCCCAAAAAAAGTTCCGCGGAGTATGATTTAAGTAACTGTCAAAAGGATAAATCTCCTGGCTTCTAATATTTCCATTTTTTGATCTGTGCTTTTCTCCTTCAAAGGAAAATAATCACTTTACCACTTACACTTTAGTACAAATACTGAAATAGAAGCATAATAATGGGAAATAATCAGTTCAACCACTAATGTTTTAGTTCAAATAACAAAATTTAACTTCTTTTTGCATGGTTCTTACTTGTTATATTTCCTAGGCATGCGTTGCTTAGAAAATGGAGTTTTTCCAAACATTTCATCTATTTTATCTTTATTTTATCATTATCAATTTTTTGCACTAATGAAATGTTACATTGGACGAAGAGCCAAATGAGATTTTGATTGTTAATTGTTTTAGGATGTGGGGCATTCAATTTTGGAAGCATATTCCAGGGTCCTAGGGAACCTGGCTTTCTCCATACTTTCTAGGATAGGAGATATTCTGGAAGAGGATCACCTGAGCAATCCAAGTTCACCTGTGGCAGCTAGTTACTTCCCTGGAATAAGAATTCCGGGAATATCAGATAGCCCATTGCAATGCCGAATTAGGCATTCACTTCTCGACCAGATGAATCGAGTCGATGGAAATGCTCATCGCTGCAGTGGAAGTGAAGCTTCTTATTCTGAAAGCCCATTCGGTGATTCCAGTATAAGTTCGATTACTGTTACACCAAGTCGTAGCAGAGTCTGGTGTGTTGGTGGAGATTCTTGTGGTACCCTGTCTGCTACGAGCTCGCCATGATGGAGAATTGTGCATAGTTATGATGGTTGTTTTTGTAGATAAATTGCCATCTTCACAGGAAAGAAAGAGATTTTGTTTTGCTGACCTCTTGCAGTGAGCCTACTCGCTCATGGTCACACAGAATGTCCCCTGTCTAGTTAGTTACATGTAGACTGGCAGCATTTGAAACTGAAAGACAAAATTTACAAATTTTTATGTAATTAATTCTTATTTATCTTTAGATTATATCAATGGCCAGGGAAATACTGATTATCCATAGAGATGACAAGAAGTGAGTCTTAGCAGTTACATGGGACTGTCTAATATACATGATGTGTCAAATACTGACCATATTTAAGCTTCTGGAGGGGATTGGCATGAGAAATAGTACATGACAAGAAGTTAATCATGAAGGTTTTGGTTTCTATATTCATATTAAAAACCTAGTTATATCTTCAACTATGTTTCTAAGATAGCTTCTGCATCATGCATCACAATTTTCTTCTTGAATGAATATTGGGGAAGATGATGCAGAGTTAAAAGATTTTCAAAAAACTTTTTACTTGAATATTAAAAATAAAAAACTCAATTTGTAATGGCAAGCTACTCAATAAGCTGTAAAGAGGAGCACCATGTGGATGACCAATCATTCCATTAGTCTCAAAGGACAATTTGGATAGTAACAAAGAGGATGATCATGCAGACGACCAATTTATTCTAGTGGTTTTAAAGAAGTTCAAAAGATGAAAAGACTGTTCAAATAGTAGTATATTGATTCAAACTTGGGAAGTTTATAAAAATTCACGTGCCTTCGCGTTACCATTGGTGTGGAGCATGCCAGACAAAAACAGTTTATTTGAAATTTTTAGAAATTTTTGAGGTACATGAATTTCTAGTACTTTAAGTTTCTTACAATTGCATATTTTAAAAATTAACAGGCAAGACCTTAAATCTTCCTTCGCCATATGATTGTTTTGCAAGTTATCAAATAACATGATCTTTATCTTGAAAAGAAATGTAACTTTAGAACAACAGAGAGTTTTTTTTTTAAATTATTCTTGAACAACAAAGAAAAGAATTTTGTAGTGCAATTGTAGTTTTTTATTTTTATTTTTTATTTTTGAAGAAACGACTATGTTTAATCACTTTAAACTGTAAGTTTCATTAATTTGTCAAGATAATGAACTACTTATACGTAAAGTCACCACATAGATACTCAAACTTGCCAAATTATTTGCTGATTTTTAAGAATTGCTGATTTTGAAGAACATACTATTGCAGGTGACAAATACTGCCACAAACTGGATTTGTTAAGTGACAAGATCATTACTTCAGAAAATAGTATGCAGATTCATGCCTCTATCTTTTGTAATTTTCAGAAAGAAAAAAAAAGAGTATAATCATTTATACTAGCTGCTATTAACAGAAAAAAAAAGTACATCCCTTTTACTTGATAAAGGAAAAAAATAGAGTATAATCAGTTATTTGTGCTCTCTGATTCTCCTATTTATACCTATTTTTTACACTTTTCCTTTTTTTTCTTTCAACAATGCCATTTTTTATAATCCCTAAAATACCACCCTTATCCGGTTTGTCTTATTTTTTTTTCTCTTGTTATTTTTTCTAGCTTGTGGTTGCTTTTACGAAAGAAATATGGATTACAAATTTTAGTAATAGAATCACAAATCCACCCAAAATTTGTGAAGCTAATAATAAACATCCGTAGGACTAAAAATTGGTTAGACTATGTATATTGAGAAACAATAGCCAAGAATACTAGTGTTGATTGCTCACCTTATTCTCTACATAATACCAGATTATGAATGCTCAAGCTACTCATAAGTTGAAATATTTGAAAATATTATTTGAAATAATATTATAGTATTTTTCTGCGATATGATGTATGTACAATAAAAAAAGTAATTAAAATTATAAAATAGTTGTTGAAAAATGTATTTATAATAAAAGTTCAATTTTTACAAATAAAATTTGTATCCAAATAATTATTTCAATCCTAAATGGCCTTCAAGCCTATTTTGCTTTATTAATTTTTTGGGCTACTTTGATAGGCTCATCAATCAAATGGACAAAGAGGCTTGGAGCGTTTTGCCTACAGTTTCATAGTTATAAAAACCCCGTTCGGCCCGGCCCGGTGATCGAACCGATCAACCCAGTGAATCCGCCAGTTGACTGAGCCGGGTCTTTAATTAGACCAGTTAAACACTGAAATCGTTGACTAGTCAACGATTCATGGTTCAATCGGATTAAATCAAAAACTCGGTCGGTTTTGTGGAGAAACTGCCAGTTGACCGAACCGAGTCTTTAATTAGATCAGTTAAACACTGAAATTGTTGACTAGTCAACGATTCATGGTTCAATCGGATTAAATCGAAAACCCGATCAATTTTGTGGAGAAACCAATTTTGAGGAAAATATTTTACAAAGTTTTTTGCTTATTCGAACCTATGACCTTAGGTCAAGGTATATGACAAGCTCACCATCAAACCATTCTGCCACATGTTAATTAAGTATCATTCTTATACTATATGAACGTTTTATCAATTTTATCTTTATTCTTTTTCTATTTCTCCAAAACAAATTTATTTGAAATGTTTTAATACAAACTCATGACCCCCAAATTCTAAAAATTATAAAATAGATTTCAAAAATAATATATTACATAATTTGTTTTAAAGACAAATATTGTTTTTAATAATTTTTTGCACTTAAAATTCGTAAGTAACCTAAATAATTACGCTAAACATAAATAAAATTTTACACTTGAAGTTTGGTGGATCACTAATTAAATTTATGTTTTGCTGATTCTTATATGAATTAATTATTATATAGTAAATTAAATTAAATGAGCATTTGTTATGACATTATTTATTAAAATTGATATCATATATCCTATATAAAAAATTATAAGACATAATATTTAAATATATTTAGTGACCCACTGATTAAACCAGTAACCCGTTGATCCACCTTCTTTGCCGGTCTCCTTTCCGGGTCGGGTTTAATAACTATTTCATCGTCTCATCCTTACTTACATGTCACGTGTTAATTTGTTGGCTATCTACGTGTTCCCGAAGAAGGGATGCAAGTTGTGATGATTCTCCAAGAACTTTCGTCCTTCTCAACGGGGCACCTTTTTTGTTTTTTTTTTTAATAACACATAATTATTGTTGTGTTTTTGGGATTTGCGGAATGCCTCGCCGAGGAATAGTTTATTTGTCCTGTCCATCAATAGCTTGTCCAAAAAATGTGCACATATATACATAAACACACTTTCTCCCTCATGCACACGTATATATGCACACACACACTCTCTTTTACACATATTTTCTTCTATAACACGCACTTTAACCATAATCTCTCCATCAAACACACAAAATAAATATTTTTTTTCTCTCGAATACACACTTTTCAAATTAAAAATACACTCTCTTGTACACAAACACACAAAAGCACACTTCCCATGCTACCATATAGTTTATTACATAGTTATTAAACCCAACCTGGCAAGGAACTCGACAAAGGAACTACATCATGGATCGCTAGTTCAACCAGTTGGTCACGAGTTAAATCGATCGATCACTAAAATCATATTTATAAACACAAAGTAGTAATTTTAGTATAGGTAAAATATCTAATAAAGTGCTCTTATATACTAATCATTGCACTTAGAAAGATATGTAATGAACATACAAATATTTGTAGAAGACTTAGTTTCATTTTATCGTACTTTTATGCAAATAAATTATATAGTCAAATATAAAATAAAATTATGTTACTTATTTTCAAGGATACAACATAATTTTTTATTGTTTTATTTTTGTTTAAATATAAAAATATTTTTTAACTACTCAAATATTGTCACATGATGCTAACATTTTTTAGTTTGAAAGTTAAAAGGATTAATTTATAATAAAAGTAAACAAGTTTAATTTAAAGAAACATTAAATTATGAAATAAAAAACTAAACAAGTGGTAAAGTCTTATACACATTTAAATAAATATGCAGAGTTCAAATCTTGTCAAAAGTATATATACACTTTGTTTCAAAAAATAAATAACAATTGTTCAAAAAAATAACCTGAGACACTTGAAAAACCCAATGGATTCCCAGTTGAACCAACGGATCAAACAAGTTTGACTGGATCAACTCCTTATCAAGTCAAACTTTGAGCCCCAGTTCGACCTAATGAACGATTCACTGTGTTGTATTGTCCAATCGTAGGATTGAGCTGTGTTTAATAACTATAATTTATTACTATCAAAAAGTAATATTTAAAATTTAATATAATAGAAAAAATAAAAGATCACATTACTATTCAACTATATTATATATATGAAATAAAATATTTCAATTTAATGCTTATATTCAGCTGATTATCAAAAAAGTTTGACTTTATTTGTTTAGCAAATTAGACTTCAGTAATTAAGTTTTAATATTCAAATTTCAGACTTCGATTTTCAGTTATATCAAATGCCTCCAAGCCGATGTAGCATTTAGTTTTGTACAACATTTAACTCATGCACTCCTAGAAAGTCCAATCTCGCTAATACTACACAAGGTTCCCTGTGATACGAACTGTGATGCTTTCGGTTTTAAGTTGTCCCACTAACTTTTGAGCGAAAATTATGTCCCAAATGCTTAAATCAAGTTATTAACTAGTAGCCCATTACACAAGATTTTGTCTATTTTTTTTTTGTCGTAACGGCACATCTAACCTTATGAGGATACGAAAATTATTTTTATATTTTGTATCCCCAAAAATTATTTATACATTTTATGTTTTAATCTACTTGTCTTGAATTTTTAGTTAATTTAATGGTTGAATCATGATTTTTAATCCTATTGCTCCATTCAATTTGTTGCATGTTGAATTTATATTATGTTATGCAAGTGTGACCAATTAGTGTGAAGAGAACCCCACAGCTCATGGGAGTGCTATTCAACCCATTTCAAGTGGTCCGATAACTAGCGTACGAGTAAGAAGATTAGGGAGTTGTTCCAAGCTTTAGTTGATGTACAAGCTCAAGTTGGTGATACGCGTGGCATTCAAGGGCTTGATCACGAAGATACAACACTTTATACACTTATTCAAGTCATGGATGCAAAAGTGAATGGAGATCATGGCATCGGATCCAAGGATTAAAGACATTCGAGTTATTTGTTCAAGTCATTTGTGATGTCTTGTTTAGTTAATTTTTTCCAGCTTGTTAGTCGATTATTAGTGATTAATTTAAGGGTTACATCAGTCATTTGAATTAGGAAAT